CGACTAATAACTTGAGTAATCAGGGAAAGATCGAAATCGTCCAGCTGCAAAGTGGATTTCAAAAAGGAGAAGGAACCCGATCGGGTGGCAGGTGCAACGATGTCTAGCCTGCGGCATTATTCGATTCGCATCTCGTGGCTAATCGAAACGCCATTAGTACACGTTCCCTGCGTGTTCCTCGGATAGGTAGCCCAGCTTCGTTAGCTTCCATGAAGAATTAGCAGTCCGCCATACTTTCTACCTTTACACGTTCATTTGCCTTTTCAAAATGATTTGAAAGATATACTCGTAAAAACGTGCAAGAGATCAGGAAAAAAATATTCATCATAATTACAATACCTTAATTTATTAACTGTATTTTTTTTTCTTATCTTTTTATATAGTATTATTACTTTCATAAAAACTTTATTGTTTCACAGATAACTTATATTATAATATTCAAAAATGATCATTTGTATTATAATGTTATTTCACTTTTATACTATAAATTATTTGAATCTTTATTTTAAATGTTACGAATAACTCGCGTACGAGGATAATATTAATTGTATTTATTTAAAGATTACTATATATATATATTAAATATTGAAAAACATTGATTAATTGTGTTTATTTCATTGTAAAAAAGAAAATATTTATTATTAGAATCACATTGTCTTAGCTTTTGTTCATTATCATTAATCACGTTTGTTCTAACTGATGTCATCGGGATTAATCCGATTAATCAATTTCAGCGTAATCGTTTGGTGTCCTTTTGAAAATCGAATTACAGGTCGACGGAAGAAGCTTCCGTCGTGACATAGTCATAAGGTCGGCCTTTATTGACCGTAGTTTGCGTCCATTGTCGTTGGTATTGTGGACAGGTCTAGTCGTGCCGCGTGAGCCGTCGCTTCCGTCGCTTCACCAGAACACCAGAACACACCATCGTCATTGTTCTCTCTTACAGTATACAATCATGCATGAGAGACTCATATGTAATACATAGAATATAATATATATACACATGTTAGTAGAGGTAAATTGTATGCGTTCGTTAAACAGAAAATTACAACGTTAGTAAATTATCCGATATATATTTTATCTTACAATTAGATATTACAATCATTATAATTTACTCGTAAATGTTCATAAGCCATTTAATTTAATTTTTTATGCGTGTGTGTGTGTGTGTGTGTATATGGGTGTAAATTTGATTAGATTGAATATGCATTTATTCCGTTAGATAATATGACTGATAAAAAGAAAAACAAGAAAATGAACGAGATAAAAATGTTTTGGAGATATAAAAAGAAAAAGAAAAATCTAGAATTTCTCAATAAATTGATAAGAATTTTTCTCTCGTTATATTTTATCTATATATGTAATATGCAATTAAAACGAATAATATAAATAATAATGATTATATTATCGAAGATTGAAAATCTTTATTATATTCAAGTTAATATCATTAAAATAACATTAAAATGAAGATATAATAAATACGCGACGCGAAGATAAAGGTCTAATGAAAATAATATAAAAGTAAGGATGTTAGGCATATTTGGTCATTTGATATGAAGATAGAATGGTGAATCAAAAATAAAAAGAGGGTGGGAGGTTGGTAACGTCACGATGTTTCTTAATGGAGGACCAGATAAGATCACCCCTTGGTAATCCCAATGAATTCATGCGTGGCGTTTCGTGGCACGAGGCGTATGTTTTTCCTAGAGCAGGCCGTTTCTCCGGGCTCGGCTCAATAAATCGGCCGATAACGGCGACGATAAGCTCACCAAATTGAAGGCAAACATCCCGCTGGCACGCGGTCATTATACCATCGTGGAATAATAGTTGCCCGTTTGTTACGCGCTCCCTAATTATGGTCACTACGAAACCAACCGAATGAACCATAGGAAAGCTCGTGTATGTTGTAAGTAGAGAGAAACACACCCTTTCCCTTATTCTTACTACTCCACCCTCCATTTTCTTTTACATTATGCGCCATCAAGTAGGTAGCTAAGGTATAAATCACTGATTCAACTGATCCCACGAGTCTTATATACTCTATACTATTTTTCTATGTGTACACGTAACTTGTGTGTGTGTGTGTGTGTTTAAGTACACCCGAGTATATATCTATACGTATTCCTCGCGTGAGAATAATTGAATATTAAGAAATCTTTCCCGTCCATCGTGTTCTATCCGGCCACTTAAGAAGTATCGACGTAATTACGGGACGACAATAATTATTTTCTTCGAATATCTATTCAACGAAGCGGAGACGATTAAATGATCGAGTATGTATTACGAGAAGTAACTACAAGAGAATGGGAATTTGTGATTTTATTTTATCTTCTTTTAATTATTCTTTTTAGTTAAATCGTATAAATATTAATAAATGGATATAATTAAGATAATTTATTATTTATATGTAAAGCAATATGTTATCTAACTGTCGTATAATTGTTTCTTTTTCTTAATCAGAGATTTTTTGAAAGTTTTTTTTTTTTTATCTTAAATATTATAATAAAGATATATGCAAAGTGAATTACTTGTAAATTTATAAACAGTTTGGTTTATTATTCAATATTTGAATAAATTTTGCTTTATCTCGCAAATTTTGCACAGATCATCGAACGTTTATCAAGATGTTCACCCTTGTTACAATTTTTGATAACGTCACTTTAAAATTTACTCGTTTCGTACTTGTAGAAAAATTCGTTTCATATTCTACGTACCTAAGGACATCTAAATCATTATTTGATACGTGAATATGATGGATCTTTGAAGATCCATCCATTTATCATTGAGAAAATCGAGTGTGACATCTGTCTTTTGGTGAACGAGCAAGTTGTAGAAATGCGATACGGAACTTGAAATGTTCGATACTCGGCCCTTCCGACCTACGCAACAATACCCATCCTATTCTACCATCTACTACATATATATATATATATATATATATATATATATATATATATATATATATATATACACTGAACGTGCGACGACTATTAATATATGGCTACTAGAACCATTGTTGCGAATTAGGTACCACTGAACAATCCATTGTCGAGGACAACAGGAGGCTCGAGAAATATTCCCCAAAGAACTATTTTTCGAGGGTTGCTTACAAGCTCGATCGACTTTTCATGATCTTCCAGCTTCATCGCGACCTTCTGTCCCTTTTTCCCCACCCTCTTTGTCGATCTACGAAAGGATCTAACAAAATTTAATTATGTGAAGAGTCAAATTTCATTACTACATTTTGAAATGGCTACTTTGTAAAATGTATATATATATATATATATATCAAAAAATTAAACGTTTGGCTTGTGGTACTTGCATAAAATAATAATACTAATTTCTTCGTTAATATTATATTCGTTCTATTAGATCATATTATACGTGCTTAATATTTGAATGTGTGTGATTTTCTATAAATTAAATATTTTTTTTATCGACAATACAAGTAATGTCATCTGACAAAAATTACGATCAAACATTGTATCATTATGGTAGGAACTGAATTTACCGACAATAGATAATAATAATACTCGTAAGATATCTATAATTTTATTTTTTATAAATATCCGTAATGAACCGTAGAAACGCTGGCAAGGAACCTTAACAGCAGACAAAAATTAATGAATGTTTTTTTTTGTTCACTATTTGCTCAACTATATTTTATCAAATATTTTTTATTTATCGTTAATTAGTTGAAAATAATTATTACCCTGGAAGTCATCTCTGAGCAGGAGCATTAAAATAATTACATAAAAATTAAAATAATACCACAAGGAGACCGTTATAATCTTCAATTTTATTGATTAGGTGGATTATTGATTTTATACACATGCGCAACGTTTGGAAAGTCATATAAACAATATTGAATAAAAGTAATTTGATAGAGGACAATGTTTCATTTCAACGGTGAATTTCGAAGGAGAAGGTACATAGATCATATATTCCTAGCTTTTAAACAGCAATAGACATTTGTATCGATTATTTAACAATTATTTTAATATTTTAATGCACTCTTTTCATATTTAAGATTGTTTAAACATATATATACTAGAACAGCCAACTTAATGAAAGGAGTCGTCCGAGGTTTTGAAATATATATTTAGTTGTCTCTTTTAAAATTCTTAAATATTAAAATATTATACTTAACTATTCTTGCATAATTAAAAAGTCAAATTCAAATGACTTGTAGAGTCTTAGCTCGCTTAGATACAATAAAATATTTTGATCTATGTTATTTAATAAAATGTTTTGATGTGTTTATATATGTATATTAATCATTGCTTTTAGATTTTTTTTAGATGGCTTTAGACCCGTCTTGATTTTCTTCTACTTTTTAAAATATATATGTATAAAAAACGCATTTCTGAAGGCACACACGTATTTAGACACTAAAAATTAAATATAATTATTTTTAATTTTCTTACACTATAACTATACTGTTTGTACCATCATCGCGTTAAGTACATACTATCGTCCAATGGTGGTCCCATTGGTAACAAAAATGTTGCTGGGTAGATAAAAAAGGGGACTTATAAGTTTCTATATACTTCACCACAAAAAAGTTGGCATTGAACCGCAACAGAAAAAAAAAATGAAAATATTTATCTATTGTTTATACATTATGAATGATTAACTTATTTCTTTTCACTACCTTATACGTTGTTACTTTGGAAATCAACTTTAAATATGTCCCTTACAGGTATACCAACTTTACTTTCATTTTTTTCCAAGTGTGCTTGCACCTTGAATTTGTGGTTGCGCATGTGTATAACATATCTCCCACTCATGACGTCGCTATTTCATCATTATTCAAAGTGTAATAATTATTTTCAACTAATTAACGATAAATAAAAAATATTTGATAAAATATATTTGAGCAAATAGTGAACAAAAAAAAGCATTTTTTAATAATTTTACATATAAATTTAGTAATATAATTCCGTGTGTTAATTATAATATATTCAATTATTTAAAAAAGCGAGATATAGAATTGATTCTTTAGAAATAGTCTTTCTTTATTATACAAGTACATGAAATGCATGGTGTTTGTTTATAAAAGTAGCGAAATAAAATGATTATATATTATATTTAAAAGACACGGGTTCCTCACGATTTTTATGGTTTGCCCAAATTAATATTTTTTGTTTCTAAAAATTTATTATATATATGATATATTATTTCTTCTTAAGTAGCGTGGCAACGCATACATTTATAAAATTCTATCACAATAAGCAATTCCACATTGTTCGTGACAAGTCAACATTGATTCACAGTTCAAGAATCTGTACTCAATTCGGAAATTAATCAAGAAAATAAATTTTTATCATTTGATAATAAAAACAATATATTTGTTTTGTTTGTCATTAATAAGTATGTTTTGCCGATCACAGAACTTTGTTTCTCAAGCGTCCAAGATTACCAATTTCTGTTTCCAAAACGTCTCCTCGCTGTGAAAAAGAAAAGAATTTTTAATTTTTATAGAAAATAATTTGGTTATTTATAGGAAAACTTATTTCAGCATACTTTCAAGAACTCTGGTGGCTTTCTCGTGAATCCTACACCAGCTGGAGTACCAGTGAGTATTACATCTCCAGGTAATAAAGTCATAAATCTAAAAGCAAAAATATAATATATTTTTCTTCTTTTTAAACCCTTTCATTTTGTTAATAATGAAATAAAGAAACTGGAGTTATTAATACTAACTGTGATATGTATGCAACAATTTCGTGAGGTTTGATAATAAGTTCACTGGTATTTCCATTTTGTTTAAGATTACCATTCACCCAAGTTTTCACTGTTAAATTATTAATATCACATATTGATTCCTTCGTCACAACGGCAGGTCCTAACGGACAGAAAGTATCCATCGCTTTTCCAAGTAAAAATTGGCCACCATTGCGTTTCGATTTTTGCCAATCTCGCGCTGTTATATCTTGAGCAATTGTAAATCCAAAAATACAATCCTCTGCTTCCTTATCGCTAATGGACTTACATCGTTTACCAATCACTATAGCGAGTTCAGCTTCCCAATCGACTTTCTAAATCAACAAGATTTATAAATTAAACAAATTATTATCGTTGCATATATATATATATAATTAATTTTTTTAATTGTAACACACATTATTTTTTAATTTAATTTATTTTATTAATAATTTCTTAAATATAATAATTATCTATAAATTATTCTATTTTTTGCAAATAGGATTTTAACTAAATTGAATTTTCTCTTTCATTCATTTTGTTTACAAGACAATATTTTTTTTGTTCTTATTTCTCAAACGAAGTCAACGAGTTCGAACCAGACATTATATAGATAAAAAGTATGTCTCATATAATTAGATTGAAAACACGCTAACCACCGGTTGCGTAATCTTAAACAGCTAAAAATATTGTTACAATTCGCAATTCACAAATTTCGTATATTTACAAGTTACATTTTAACTTAGGTGAAAGGATAAAATTGAAGATGTTAATTTTTCAACAAACATCTTACAAGAAATAATTACTTATTTTGTTAGATTATAGAGAAATGAATTAACATCATTGATAATATAAACTTAGGTCACCTGATCTTTGAACTGCAATTCGTTAATCATCAATCTCATTTAAGCATAAATAGTTTTGATGTATTCGAATTAAATACATTTAACATATTATATGAAAATTTTTAAATAAATCAAATAATCACGTCGGTAATGTAGATTTCTTTAAATGCATAAATATAAATTTTGGAGAAAATTATTTTAATTGATAAATTAATATACATACCTCTGATATCGAGGGTAAAATAACATTGTCGGTTGGTCCTACGATGTTGCTAGGAAATTTGCTGAATATTACTGGACTTTCTGGTGGAGGTACACCTTGTTCTTCACAATGTCCGCTATAATTTAAACCAACGCATGCTAATTTGTCCATGCGCGTAATCGGTGCCAAAAAATTCACATCTTCGGCCGGTGTTATGCTACGTCCTTCGGCGACAATCCTATTTAAATATTATATATTATAGCATAAATACATACACACATATAAATATTATTTACATATATGTATACAAATATATATGCATGTCATATGTTGTCTAATATAGAAAACATTATTTGTATAGAAATGGCAATGTGAATTGACAAGTTGCATACTAATTTCTAACATGACAGCATTCAGAGAAACTCTCAAGTCTGAAAAATATAAATAAAAAACGTAAGTATTGTTGTAACGCACGAAAAGGCATTAGAAAAAAAGTAATGCAAAAGGTAATGTATTTTGCACTTTCAAACATAGCCATACAGTGTGTAGTGTTTCAATCTGAGGTAATACGAAACATATGTTGTTTGTTTAAGATTGAAATCTCGTTGTTAGCCAAATGATGTGATAAGGATATAATGATAGTGAATGTATGTGATATTTGATAAGAGAGAACTGATAATTTGTTTTTCTTTCTCTTTTTTTTATTTTTATTTTTCCTTTAATTGTAAGAAGGAGAGAGAAAAAAGGGGTAAACATAGTCATAGTCGAGACAATTATAATTACAAATTGTGGAAACACTTGCGATATTTTTTTTTCTCTTAATAATGAAAAGAAAAAAAACATAAAAAAAAAAGAATCAAAAATAAAAGGAATGCTTAAATCCAAAATAAACGGGATTTAAATTTCGTGCAATCCACCAACCTCTCTACGGCCGCCTTTAAATCGATATCGTCTTCCCTGGCGAAACAAATTTTTAACTGTGAAAACGATTTTCTATTTATATAGATATCTATTTTCAAAAACAAACAAAAAAAGATAGGACGATAATAAGATAACTAAATCATTGATCATTTCTTTAAATATAGAGTTCTATGATCGCTTATATAAAAATTATCTTGTATTATAAATTCTACATTGATTATATATTACAATAAGTGTTATTAGCCTTATCTTTATTTCCTTTATCTTCTTATTGTTTCCATTTTCTTTAGAGATCATTTGAAATTTGTAATGCAAATTCAATTATTAATTTAAAGATCTTATAAATAATTTTGTTGTAATAAAAGAATTTATATAAATAATTATAAAAAAAAAATGTATTATTTTTTACTAGAAAAGGATCGACAACATTTCATGGATATTTAAATAATTTTATTTGTTTCTTATCTTAATAATTTCATAAATATTTATCGATGGAGATAATGGTTAACCTTGTATATTATCAATCGTCGATAATATCATTGATCAACAATATTGAGTACGCATTTTCATAAGTAACAAAAAATACAATTACCTTTTAGCTTTTTTTAGAAGATCGTCACCACCCTCGAGGAATTTTTTTAACGAATTTGGAATTCTAGAATCTACTGCAGACACAGCTATGATATCTCCACCTTCTTTAAGCTGAACACCCAAGTGCTGAGGTCCGCCATTTTTATTTGTAAATTGTACGAATCTGGAATAAGAATTCAAAATTTGAATAAATTTTAATATAAATTGTTATTAGAATTAATTTCTTTTATAATGGAAAAATTTAAATGAATATCCTTTAAATAATTTCAATTGTATACAGCTAAATAATTTGTATTTATCGTTCATATCGATAGAAAATATTTGTGTAGACATGTATTAAAAGGTGTAGAAAATAATTGGCATCGTACGTAATCTTAAAGATTTATCGATGTATTATGAATGAAAGTTTTTTATCATTTAATCATATTTTTTTTCTAAATAGGTGATATATCAAATTGATTATAAATTTTAGAAAATTATTTATACATTATTTTAATAAAAAATTGATCAAATTTATATATACTAACAAATTGGCACGCGAATATAAATATGTTAATTACATGTGGCAGTGTTTCTACAGGGATGAAACTAGTCAAACTGAAACCACAAAACTTACATCTATCTTTTGATAAAACGGTTGACGCATTGACACGTAACTAACCTCAACATTTCAAAAATTAGGACATTGTTGAAAACATATTTGTAGTTTATTTATGCGCGTTTTCAAACACACATTCGTTATTAACAATGACTAGAACAAAATATTTATTATCAGGAATTTCTTTCGATATTTTAAACACCTTTTCTGCGCGAACACTTGAATCAATTTTTTAACATACATTTATAAATTGATGAAATAATAAATTGTCGTTTGACGTAATACACATAGAATAAATTTTATCGGCATTTCATATTAATCATAAAATTCATAAACTATTCATATAAAAATATATAAGAAATGGAAAGATTACATAATTGACAAGGTCAAACGACTAATTTTGTAAAAAATTCATAGTTATGTCATGTTGACAGTCTCTATTATATATACATTTCGACCATAAGAGAGGAATATGATTATTATAATAATACAACACCGGCAATTACCTTTTCTGATATAGCATGTGATTGAAGTTTTACGTAAATATGTAGATTTTTAAATTGTTATGGACAATCAAAGTATCGACTGAAGTATTTAATGATGAAAAATTCAGACAAAAAGGGAACGATAAACATAAATAATAAGGATAATATTAATAATAATAATAAAATAATTAATCAATTTCTTTTGAAACATGTGTGTTTAATCTACGACCCAAATTAAACAAAGAAAAGAACAATTTAAGTTGTTAAAACCGGTTTCGACCTCTCCAATGTTGTTTTTATTTTGTAAACTAGAAACATATTTGGTGATACCACGTACAAACATGTTTTACAAGTATATTGTAAGAACATAACTTTCGAATATTTAATCATTTTGCCCTTTACGATTGTTTCTTTTTTACATATATGACATTTACATATGGACATTTGTACACATTCTAACATTTCACTTTCTTAAACGATATTTTACATTTAATTGGAACAAAAACTTGAAATCGTTTCTTATCTAATTTATTGTATTTTTTGATTGTCATTCGTTATAATTCGAATAGCATCTCAATTTAATTTCAAGTTTATTTTTAATGACAAAGTATTAAATACACGAGAAAAAAGCTGACAATTGGGAGGATACTTATGGGAACGTATTTGCATAAATATTTAAATTTTATTTTCAATAAAATATTCGGGTCATTAAAAAAAATACTTATATAAAATTAATGTAAAATTTATGTGTAAAAAAAGAAAATTTCGAAAAGGTCAATTAATACAAATTAAAATAATACGAAGATTAATACTGCAGAAAGAAATATACAAATGGTCTAACAAATATGTTAAAAAAATTGGCAGAATACCAAATGAACAGATCGTAGAGGAAGACGTACGAAAAAAGAAATAAATAGATACAGAAACGTTTGAATATCGAATCAAATGACCGATGACGTCAATTTCAATTTATTCTTGTAGTAAATACTTAAGTATAGATCTTTCATTATTAAAACTAAAAATCGATTAATAAATGGCGTAAAATGACATAATATGTGTTTACTTAAAAAAAAAAGGTTTTTTTTAAATTAAAAGTCATAAGTAATTTTCTATATAAGAACCTCTGAATGATTACGTCCCTGAGACCGGGTGTATTTGACTCACCTCATATCGAGCGTATTATTCACTGAGAAGTTTCTACCAGCAGTAATATTTGTGACGAAATGCGTATTAACTTTCGCTTTCTCGCTGTTACAAGAACTTCTCCAAAGTAGAAAAGTTCTGCCAAGTAATCGGAACCTTCCACGATAAGGCATTTTGTCTTTTTTTTCAAAATTTTTTATTAATTTTATCTTTTGTTATTAATATCTTTTTACTTTCCAGATAAATCAGGACTTCTCAATTGGTGTGTTAAGATAACTTATCTCGGACAGTAGCTTTATGATAAATGTAATAGAAAAAAAATGAACGATTATTGCAATAATAAATGATCGATACATTCGTCTTGAGAGACTGATGGTGACTGAAGAATGCGTAACACTGTGTTTTAAGTCCCTCTAACGGATGTTCAGAGAATTTCTTGGTTTAACGATAATGATCTATTGTTTTTTTTTATTACTCTTATTATTCTTTTTAAATAGCATACCCATTTATATTTTATAGTCTACTTGTCTCTTACAATTACGTCATCAGAAGAATACATTTTTCATAAGTTGAAACATTTACTCATATATATTTTAATTTCTTCAAGTATTCGAGAATCTGTTTTTTTTCTCGCGTCCTTTATTTTTAGGAATGTGAGATATATTAATTAAATTTTCTAAATTCTATGAAATTGTTTTGTCATCAAAGATGGTATTAAATAATTGAATTGTATTAATTAAAATCGACCAATCAGATTTAGAAAAATTCTTATAAAATTGGGTAGAATGTAAGAGATCACAAATTGAGATTGGACTTTTCCTACTAACGCCACCTCGCGTTGATAAAGAAATTCTTTTTTAAATAAAATTTTTGATATTTGGATTTTTTTTGCAAAATCTGATGAATGTTAACTTCTTTAAATACAGGAATAACTTAATGATTTCCTTTCGTGTAATTTTGTTTTCTTTATAAGATATTCTACAATATTTTATATAGAATGGAATAAATTAAAATTCATCTAATATTAAGTTTAGAGTAAACAATTTAATCAAAAGGCTTTGTTCGTGTATGTGCGAATTCTTCTCTTTTATGATATGGATTATAGGGATCGTCAACATAAAATCTTGGTCGTCTCCAATACTTGGTTACCATTGTATCAAGTAACCAGGACTGTGTAGCATTAGTGAAAATATGTTGACGTAATCTACGTTTTCTCCCTTCTGTTTTTCTCCACATATGTTTGTCATGCGCACAATATCTTCGTATCCACATACCCCTATGAAAATAAATATAATTAAACATAATGTTACTTAGGACTATGTTATTCGATCAACATAACACATTAATATATAATATCTTGAAGATATATATTTTGTAGACGATTTGAAAATGAAGTTTTACCAATTTAGCCTGTAAAACCGTTTGAGAACTGCCTTGACAGTTTTTCTCTTTCCTTTCCTCATAGAAAACTTGATTAAGGTTCTTTTTGGTGTAATTGTTGTATCTTGCACGGATGATAAAATATTTCCATATGGTGTTACAGCACTGTAAAAATTATCATCTTACAACATAATTATTTGAAAATATTTAGTGAAAGGGTTTTAATTTAAAAAATGTTTATCATATACCCAATCAATGTTTTATCGTTTATTCTATCTCTATTAAACCATGACTGTGTAGATAAAAGGGAGAAGCCTCTATTTTGAGTAACATTTGTAATAAGTTTTGGATATTCTTGGAGCACAACAGTACCAGCATTTTTTACGTTGGCACATGACACGATACCTACAATATAAAAAAACAAATAACAATTTATAATATCAAATTTACATGAAATTATAATTGAAAAATAAGACGTTCGAATGAAATTTAAAAATAGAAGAAAAAGAAAAAAAAAATTAAAGACAAGAGATAGAAAGAAATAGACAATATACAAGTGAATCGTTCCTTCTGTCAAAAATGTGTTATGTGATCATTCCGGTCCGTTCACAAACTTAACCTAAAAAGTAGCCTAAAATAAATTCTTAAAAAATTGATCAAGAAAACAGTGTAGGTGTTTGAAGTAATGCGTAAGGACAAGAACGTATGAGAGAAAATCGTAATGAAAGTCAATATTATCGATGAAGAAAGAAATATCTTTAATAAATCGTACCTCGAACTGCAGCGCTAATAACGCGCAACATCTTTCTTCGCGTAGTTCCGTTCGGTGACCAGCTGTTTTGTACCGTTGCTCCCTCTTTTCCTTCGGCTGCTTGACCGGCCAACCTGAAAAAAGATGTTTCGAATTGGACTCAAATTTTCGTGCAACGGTCTTAATGGGGTATGTAAAGTGTTAGTGCTACAAAAAAAATCGTCTTCTTGTCGTACGATTTCTTTATTTGACAAAAATCGAGTAAGAATTTGATTTTTGTGGTTAAGATAAAGATGGAGACAGAAGGAATGAGGGGAAATAGGTAAAGAAAGAAAGAGACAGAGAGAGAGAGAGAGAATGATCGAAAAACAACGTTTTCCAACTCGTTGATTTTCTATTTAAATTTTCCTTATTTCTTTCTCAAATATGTTCGCTCTTTCGAAGATGGAAAGCATAAGGATTTTATGCACATTGCTTCGAAATTGTGAAGAAAAGCAATTACGCGAGTTGTCAGTGATTATTCTAAAGAATAAGATCAAGGTTGCGTGCCTCGTGTGACAAGATGGCTTAAAATTAGGAGTCTTACATAATTTTGGGAACATTGACTGGTACGCTTGACCTTTCAGGTAAAAAACCACGCTTGCTCTAGACTATATCTAACTGCCAGGTACTACGAAACGCGTACTCGTGTCAAATGTGAACCGGAGGGAAGGTAAGATTTTCATTTTTTGTTATGATAGATCTTAAATACGCTTGGTTAGAATCTGTCACAATTCTTTAGCATTTTTTAGTTTAAATTCTTCTTACGTTTTATTTCATTATTTGGATGTCATTTTATTTAATCACGTAATTCAGTTAATATGTAGAGCATTTTGTATACATAGGTTAGGTTATATTTTAAACAGATTACCATTCGTAGATAAAAAGTTTAATTTCGATAGCTTTTTTCAAGTAAGTTCAATGGGTTTATCAAAGTGATATAAAACAGAAGAAAATAAGATACTTTTCTTATTGATATTTAATATCAAAGAACAAGTTATAATTATATAGCTTTTTTCTAGGTTTTGCAAGGATGTCAGACTTACGTCCAGACTTTCTGGACATAAGTACTCAACCGATTCCAAAAGAAGGTATTTAAACTTTATGCATGCTGAAATTAAAACATAGGCACGTTACATCTGTAAACTTGCATATGAGATGTTATATGAGTAATTTGTATAATAATTATTAATTACAATTACGAGAAAATGCATGGCTACAAATATGTGTTTATATTCGATTCTGATTTGAGATATATATTTTTATTCAGTTACAACATAAAGTTTATACATCTGTTTTTGATGGAAGTGAGAAGAGCAAAAGTTCCGGTACGTTGGTTACTTTAGGAGCCTTAGCTATCGGGACCATAGGTGTTTTGGCTTTTGCGAAGAGTAATCCAGAGTTTCGAGCAACATTAGAAGGATGGATACCAGGAACGGACAAAACAATACGGATCATCTTTCAAGAAGATTCGAATTACTTGGAACTAATCCTCACACGTTTAGATGCTCTGAAGCAGAAGTAAGCCGATAAATATGCTCCTTACATTTAGTAACTTATAGCCAATATTAAATTTCATACATTTCTTTTTAGAATATCAAACATAACTTCCGTTTTCTACAAAGGCACATCGGAAAAAGAAGAAACAGGTCAGATTAATAAAAACTCATTAGAATGCATGAAGTTTGAAGAATATAAACGTGAGCTTAGAACCTTATCAGTAATAAATTAATTTACAGTCAACCTTTCATATTACTCCTTTCCTGCAGTGTATCGTATAAAACATTTGTAGTCATACAAAAATTATTATGCTGTTTGTATCGTAAAATTGATTTACTAACACTTAACAAATTCCTATGTATACTATAGCACCAAAACCAGCTTTTGTAGAACTGGTAAACAAGAAAGAACCACCTGCTAAAGAACCTTACGCTGAAATTCGTGTAAGCAAAGAAACTAAAGAAAAACAGGAAGATATTCAAGGCGGTATGCTTTTTTTAAATTTTATTTTTTATAGATTATGTTATTGTATTCTTCATTTTATTTACTTAATTATTAATCATTAACTTCTGTTTCAATTAATTGATTAATATACTTAATTAAATTATTTACTTATTACTACACAGTTACCGGAAAGCCAGCACCGCCATCTAAGGATGTTCCGAAAGAATTGATGCCAGAAAATCTTGTAGAGTTGGAAAAATCTTGTGGTCAAGTAGCAGCGAAAGCTGTTGCTGCTTATAATACTGCAATATGTGCATTAAAGGATTATAATCATGATGTAATTAAAGTTGTAGAAAGTATCGATTCGTCCGTACCTGCCAGTATTTGGAACAGGTATATTTTTAATCATCGTAAATTATCATTAAATAAATAACAGAATTTTGTTTGTTTGTTAATCAATAGAATTTATTTTAGATTAAAAGAAGCTACAGAAAAAAGAACACAAGCGTTGCACGAGGCAGAGGAACACGCTACCAAAGTTTTAGAATCACTCAAACAAATGTATAATTTGATAGATGATCCCAAATTGGATGCACCGGCTCATGTTAAAACTGCGGCTAAAAGAAATGTTAAACAATTGTTGGATGATCTCGACGATGTTAAAAAGAAATTTGAAAATGAATTAGAGCAAGGAAACATTACCGAACGTTATTGGAAACAAGTTAGAGCAGCTCGAGAGAAATTCAGCGAGGAATTATATATTTTATTCCCTAGTATAAATCTTGACGAAAAGAAACTTTCCGTCAAAGAGGAACAATTTGATCTTTTCGTTCTACACATGTACAATACAATGATTTATCTTCAAAAAGAATTAGAAAAATTACAGGTTAATATCTAACGATTATGAATAATGATAAAAATCTAATTATATAATTATATATAAGTATTTATTAAAATTAACGTACCAACGTATATTTTTTATTACAGACAATTCATACTGCCAGAGTAAAAGCCGCCCTAAAAGCATCGAAGGAAGATTTTACGGATGCAAAAATAAATGAATTAGTAACCTTAGAAATAGAAAAAGAAAAACGTGATCTGGAAGAGAAATTTAATAAGAAAGTAAGTTCTTATTTATTTATTTAAATATTAATCAATATTTTTCAATGCACGTTAGGATCAATAAAAACGATGCTTTGATCCTTCATCCAAAATTTTTTAATAATGAACAAAGTAATGGTAATTATTTAAGGATCGATATCATAACATCATCGAAAGTACTTTTTTCATCGTATTTTAATATCGTGTAGGTATCATCGTCATAAATGAAAAGTAATAATATTGGAAAATCACTATTTTTAA